CTCTCTCTCTCTCTCTCTCTCTCTCTCTCTCTCTCTCTCTCTCTCTCTCGGCGCCGTCCTGGAGCTGTCAGTTTAGTTCGACGAGCAGGGGCGTGCGCCAGCGATGCCGCGTGGGGGTGGCGGATATTATCGACACGGTATGGCGCGGAGCCCTCATCCTCGGCGGCGCCGCGCGTGTGTGGGGCGCCCATCCATACGCCCCGCGCACGCCGCCCCGACGAGCAGGAGGGCACCAGCGTCGAGTCCATCACTCCATCGGGCGGCGACGCGACGCTCGACGCACGACCGCTCACACACACAAACACACACCTATACACACATGGCACACACACAAACACACGTGGGGGAAAGGGCGGCGCCGCACCTCCGCCTTTGTTTTCTAATGAGAGTGCGGTGGTGCGGCGGGTCTCGGTGATGGATCGACCTTTGGGCTGCAGCGCTCGGCTCCAGCTCCAGCTCCATGACCGCACCTCCCTGACGTCACCACCGCGGTACTTCGGGTACTTCCCCCCGCCGTCGTGATCACGACGGCGGCGACCATACGACAGCGTCCAGGCGGGGGCCAGCTGGAGGCTGGGAGGAGACGCTGGAGGCGGCTGGAGGCGGCTGGAGGCGGCTGGAGGCGCTGGATGAGGCGCCGTGCGATTCGAGACGAGAGATTCGGTCGGCCGTGTCCGCCCAATAAAAGCACCAGCGTGTTTCGGGAGGCTGCGATGGCGTGGTGGTCCATCCGCACCGGGCCGGGCCGGGTTGGCCAGTGTCAGTGTCAAGGCCGCCGTGAAGTTGGGTTAGCAAGGCGCGGCGGCGGGGCGAGGCAGGGCGGCGGCGGGGCGGCGCGGCACCTAACCACACACGCGGCGTGCGTCCGCGAGCTTCGCCCGCCGCTCTTCTCCGCTGTTTTACAAGAGCCATCCCGCTCAATTAAGAATGACGTGGCCGCAGGCGCGGCGCCGTGCGGTGCGTCCGATAGCGCGTAGCACAAGGGCGAGGGGCCGTTGTATCCCGAGTAAGCCAGGATGGGCGGCCCTCGACCTCATCAGCCCCGCCCTCTGCGCGGGGAGGAGTACCACTCGGCGACGCTGTCCTGTCCCATACCTGCCCGCGCAAAAAATTGATTTTATTAAAAACGATAGCTTTTATCCGATGTGGCCAACGCCCTCCCCCTTCTCCTTCTCTCTCAAAGAGGAACTCGTAGACGACGACGCCGCTGACGATGATGGTTGGTCTGCCAGCAGAGGATGCCCGCGGTGTGGCCTGTGTCGTGGGAAGGCCGCGGGCGCACGCAAGTCGGCCAAATAAGCACACGCAGCCGAGGAGGAGGTCGCACGGAACGTTTGACCGGAGAGTGGCGTGGCGTGGCGGGGCGTGGCTGGGCCAGGCGATCGGATCGCGGCGGACGTACGCCCCTGTCTGGACGGGACGACGGCACCCAGGGCGGGCTGGCGCGGCTCGGCCCCAAGGACCCGAGGAGGCGCGCGAGGCGCGGGCGCGGCCCCGCTCTGCACACATCGCCCGCCGGCTGGCGCGGCTCAGTTTCAGTAAAAGCGCGAGCCCGGGCCGGGCCGAGCGGGTGTGGCGAGGCGTGGCGGTCGTCATACGATGACGAGCCCCAAGGACACCCCCGTCAGCGCGGCGTGTGCGCGGCGCCCGACGCGAAGCAGGCTGTCGAAAAGGACGGGCCGAAAGGGTAAAGCATGCCCCGCGCCCCGCGCCACCCCCCGAGCTGATCGACAGCGCGTGTCGAGGGAACAGGACATTCGTGCCATTCGTGCGAAGTTCTCTGCCCCCGGCGCCGCGGTGACTATGGTAGGCCTCCACGCAGAATGTGATAATCATAGCTGTACGTTGTCGCGACCGGGACGGGAGGAGGTCGCTCTCGCCGCCCTCGTCTCTCAGGTTGAGCAGGGCAGGGCATCGCCAGCTGTGCCAGGCTGGAAACTCGATCCGGCTCCGGAGGCAGCCGTCCGCATCGATTCGCACGCCTTGCGCCTATGAAAGATTAACGCTGGCCTCGGAGCCGGGGTTGCGGGGCGCCGGCCCGAGGGAAACCTCGCAAAGGGCCGAAGGTTCGAACACCAAGGGACGCCAGTGCCCGTTTTTTTCCAAGTCAGTTTTTCCTCATTTTCCTCTCGAGGAACGTCCACCCATAATGTACGAGGTCCCACTCCGCCCGGCCCGGCCGGCAGTTTGCAGTCCGGGGCGCACGCCGCGAGGCGCTGCTGCCGGTACTCCGGCGCGGTACTTTATAACTTTACAGCGGACGGGCCCGCGCGCCGAGGCCCAAAGCCTCAAGAGAGTCTGCCAAGTTTGGGCCGCAGGGACCGCAGCTCTGCCACGAGAACCACACCGCCACACCGTACCCACGCAAGTGTGACATCAATATTCACGATCCGAAGGCGGGGGGAAAAGGGGGCGGGGG